CTCTCTATATATATGTATATATATATATACACAGAGCGAGAGAGAGAGAGAGAGAGAGAGAGAGAGAGAGAGAGAGAGAGAGAGAGAGAGAGAGAGAGAGAGAGAGAGAGAGAGAGAGAGAGAGAGAGAGAGAGAGAGAGAGAGAGAGAGAGAGAGAGAGAGAGAGAGAGAGAGAGAGAGAGAGAGAGAGAGAGAGAGAGACAGACAGACAGACAGAAAAGAGATAAAAGAACACAGAAGCAAACAAACAGACATAGAGCAAACAACTGCCGCCCCCAAGACGTCTCGCAGGAAGTCCAAGCATAACAAGGAGCCGTGGGCAGGGTGCCGTAATCAGCTGGTCGGCCTGCCATGTCACCACCGGCCGTCAACATCAAAACACGCCGGCTGACCGCACGCTGGATCCCCACCTGGAAATGAGGTTGTTGCGGCCCGGGCTAATGATAAAAATTACATTAATTACATCACTTTGTATGAACTGCTGGCCCGCCGACTGCACCGGGGCGGGTATTTGTATGAGAGGAGAGTACAGTTAAATCTTATTTATTGAAATCTTGCATCAAGACATTTTTATAATGATGGCGCCAACGATCATTACGTGACTTCCAGCTGTTTCGCTTTTCATTATCACTATGTTTGCTTTCATGGTTATAATAGTGTTATAATCATGGTGGTTTTGATCTCCGTTATCACTGCCATGAACACTGGATGCTGCTATCGAGATATTATTATAAGTGCTGATGGTATCTCCCAGGGCAATTATCAGTGATTATGTAAAAGTTAATCTGCGTCATAATTATCAGTTTTGATATTGTGGTTATTTTTTTCATCAGTGCTTTCATTCTTTTATGATCAACATCATTATTATTCCCGGTGAGCTTGTTCCAATAGCTTTTATCTATACTATTCCAATAATCATAATGCCTGTATGATTCATCTCCAGTATCACTAATTCAACTGTCATAATCTGAACTGTAATATTAATAAAATTGAAGAAAATGTGCAAAATGATAATCACCGCGACCAAGATTATTACCAGTACAAGAACTACATCAGTTGGTACTATTACCCTTAATGTTATCATTATCATTACCACATATCCAATGTACAATCAACGCAATTATCATTATTATCAGGAAAATAGTGACAGCAACCGCACAGGAAAAAAAATGCTTGAACTAAAATTGATGCTACTGTTATCAAAACTGCATTCTGCATAAAGAACAAAAGCCAAAGCAAAAAATACTTTATGAAACGACTGCAATAATTGAGAGAAAATTGTATCAACCTCCTAAAATAATTCACTCTTATTTTCCTTTACCGATATTCAGAATCTTACTGATTTTTTTTGTTAATCTTTGTATTTTTGTTACGTTCGGACACTTCACTCAACCAAAGAGAACACCTGCAATGAAGTGACATCAACGTGAACGAACAACCATGAAACAGATTGATGTCCCTCCGTTCACACAGCGATATCTTCCGAGGCTTTGTTTACCCTGTAACACAGCCAGGCTGACCAAACAAACACTTCAGTCTGGCCAGGTAAACACACACAGCTGGCGTAAGTGGCCAATGCAATACACCACAGCGGCCATCTCTTCTGTCACGGGCTAACCGCGCCAGCCCCCTGCCTGCCCCCTCCGCTTTCCCCCCTTATCCTCCCTCCTTTCCCTTACCCTGCTCTCTTCCCTCCCTTCCCTTATCCCCTTCCCCCCTTCTTCCCCGTATCTCTTCCCTTACCCCCTGCCTCCACATCCTTTGCCTTTGCCCTCTCTCTCCCTGGTCCCCCTCCTTCCCTCCCCCTCCCTTATCCCCACGTTCTTTAAAGCGGGGAGGGGGAGGGGAGGTGGGGGCGATTTATAAAAACTCCTCCCAGCACTATGAGAAACCGCCGCTGTCCTTGTCCATGGCAATCTAATGCAAATTGGAGGATGGGGAGGGATCGCCGCCCCCGGGCACCAGAGGCAGCAAGGAGTCATTAGATACGTTCAAAGCGGTCCTTATATAACAAGAATAGGCCCTCAAATGACCTCCGCCGCTTCTTAAAATGGAGCCTTTCCGCGGTGAAATAACGTCTCCTCCGCCTCTCGCATTACCCACCTGACCTCGTTCCGATCGACTGAGTCTCCGCGACGGGAAATATCTATATATGCAAATCAAATTAAAGGACCGTCATTAAACTCGGCGTTCGAGTCTCCGCATAAATGCCGCTGTCTCGTTACCCGGATCCGGCAGAACGGATAGGCGAAGCTCCCCGTTATAGAGTCCGGACGAGTGTTGGGGACCTGGCATAACCCCCACCCCATCCCCATGATTCATACCCTTTCCCTTCCCCCCCTCCCCTTATTTTTCCCCTTATTCCCCCTTTCCCCTACTCCTTTTCCCTCCCTTATTCCTTTCATACTTCCTCCTCTTTCTCCCCCTCCCCACTATCTTCCCACTACTTGCTCCCTTATATACATATCACCTTCCCTCTATATCTCCCTATACTGCCTCC